CTGATAGGGATATCATAAAGGTTCAATGAATATTCCTCAGTAGAACGAATGCAAGATTTGTTCAGTTACACAGGTAGACACATGAGTAAGAGTTCTATAAACTTGTACATATGTTGTGTGTAGCACTACAAAAATATATTTTCTAGAGAGACAACTTTGAATTGTTAGAATCATATATTCTTATTCCAGAAAGCTGTCCTCCTTTTTGTGTAAATACCATTGCCATTTTAAGCACGCCAGGACTACTAAGTGCTTTTTACCAGCTATGTTTTCTTCCTAGGGGTAGCAGATGTACACAGAGAATCCGTCACTTAATTCCCTCTAATCACCCATTTCTTTCCTCCCTCTTCATTCTGTCCTTGGAAACTTCAGCATTCCCCAGTGTGCCCATAGCTGACCCTGGATACTGGCAGAAAGCAAACCTCCTCTTGAAAGCAGCAGGCTCCATATGGTTGCTTCAAGCATGGAGGGTGACCCTGCCAAGTCTCCTGCAAAGGGATTTTACAGAGCAGAGAAGCAAACGTGTCCCTTTAAATGTTAGTCGCTGAGCCAGAGAGAAGTTGACTTCCCGATGAAAGGCAGTTAAAGTACTTTGCAGGCTCTGATCTGAAACCTATAGGAAGTTTTGTACAATGGCGGCTCAATGCCAGGCATTAAAAATAAATGTAATCATCTGATGATTAGCTATAAAATCTTCCTTCAAAAAAAATGATAGAGCTGTCAGCTACAATCAACATGCATATGCATATTTGAGAAGAGCAAGATGGAGAATCACCGTGTGGATGAGACCAGCACTGTGTCTGTAAGAGGGTGACAGGGGCGGTGACATAGCATATGAAGTCAATGGTGGAGTTGTTATTATTTATACATGAGTAAAGATTACAAATGCAAGCCCCAGCTCAGATCTCTCACCCCCTGGATCTGTGAAACCTGTCACTCAGTCTCCTGCGGTGTGTCTTCCTGTCTCAGAGCCATTGGACCACCTGCTGCCAAGACTCTCATCTACTGCATAGCCCGAAGGCCTCGATGATAACAGCATTGATTCCAATGTACATCTAATTACTTCTCATAATCTATTCATTTCACAATAGTGTAGTGAAACATCTGTCACATCATAAACTCTTTAGTAGCCTTATCAAACCACCAAAATACACTCGTCTGCCAGTTGGCAGCTTCCTCGGTTTCCCGTTTATTAATGTGATGCAAACATTTCCAGTCCTTTCTGCAGCTTTAGATGAATTTCCCCAATGGCTAGTGAGGCAGAATTGGGCAAACTGCAGTTGAAATGTCAGGACATCACCTCTTGGGGGACAAATTCGGATGCCACGCAGAAACCAGCTAAAATAGCAATTGCTTCCTTGGAAAACTTCGTCTCCAAATAAAGTTCTTCCATTCATAACAGTAAGGCGAAGCTCCTTCCTTAGCTTCAGTGTGTCATATTAACTGACTAAAATGAGCCTTGGGGACATTGTTGCCTTTGAATAGGATATGACCCAGGAAAGCATTTTTTCCTTCATGGACTTAACTTTACCTTTGGGGAAGTCAGGCTCTTCCCTTTTTCTCTTCTTTTAATTTCCATCATTGCCCTTTCTCTTCCTCCCGATTCTTCATGACTACCCCTTTACAGGAAATCTGCTTGATTAGAAAGATATGCCACTACTTTGTGATAAAAGGTATGTGGTGCACCAAGTGAAATGCAAATCCATTGTCGTCCACAGATGAAGTCTGTCACCAGGTCCTGATTGTTGATACATTTCTACTCCCCTTTCCATAGCCAGTTGAATGCGTCTTTCTTTGAGTAGGTATCTTAGGGAGGGTTATTCCATTGTGTGTGTGTGTGTGTGTGTGTGTGTGTGTGTGTGTGTGTGTGTGTGTGTTTGTAACAGTTTGACAACTCTATTTACATACTTAACACAGTAATTGAGAATCATTTTGGAGCATATCTGCCTTTTTAAAATGTAAAACCCTTGAGGACAATGGTTATGTCGTTTTCCTGTTTGTATCCCTGGCAACTTGCTGAGCACCTGGTACACTGATGTCAAATACACACAGTAGATTTTCTAGTTCACTCAAGTGAACTGAAAAATTATAGACTTGGTAGCATATTTACATGTATTATGAAGTATACGTCTCTGTATTTTGATCTAATAGTAGTTAATAACTGATGCTTTCATGTCCTGGGTACCATCCTAAGTCTTTCACAGATGCCAGCTCATGTAAACCCTGCATCAGCCATATTAGAGCATAGGAACCAATATTCAGAGATTACATGCCTTGCCCATTAATGTAGGTAAGCAGTGTGCCCAGCACCTGGCTGGAATCCCTGCCCATAACTTGTGTTACATGACTTCTACAGGCACTAACCACCCTCCTGTTTGAACAAATCCAGAAGATGTATAGAGATACAGGGCAGACTTACCAAGGTGTCCTTGTAGGAAAAACATGTTGCTCCTTTATATATATATATATATGTAATTTTTTATTAAAAAAATTTTTCTTTCCTTTTACATACCAACCCCTGTTCCCCCTCCCTCTTCTTCTCCTGCTTTCCCCCACCTACCCCCATCCCACTCTCATCCCCTCCTCATAGAGAGTAAGGCCTCCCTTGGGTAGTCAACACAGGCTGTTATACCATGTTGGGGTCATTCATTCACACAATATTTGAGAAGTAAACTCAGCACTTCCTTGTATTATCATATCAAGAAGAAGATATTCTCTCACATTTGTAGAAGTAATGAAAGGTTTTCCATATATTCCAGTATCTGCTGGGGAAATATTTTTATATATCTATGAACTAAAAAAATAAACCCTTTTAAGAAGCAATAGATTTAGAAACTGCTGTAGATATGTTCCTGGAAATCTACCACAACACAAATATGCTTCTTGTAAGGCATTGAATAGCCACAATGTAACCACTTGAGACCATTATTATCCTAAATTGGATTTAGTGCTAATGATCTAGAGATGGATACTTTGTGTCATATTATGCATTCTCCTCCAACAATCCCCTGAGTACCAAAGGGTCAAAGTGAAGGGAAAATCAACTGTTTGTTTTTCTCTATTGTCTCAGTGTATGGACAGATTATAACTTCATATATCAAAATAAACATCATTTACATTACAGGCTAGCTCTTAATTTTAGCACATTCCACCAAGATATGTGATTCTGTGAACTATAAATTGATTTGTTTTAAAATAACACCTGGAAGAACTGTGGCAGCAGAACTATATTAAAAAGTGCGTTATCTGGGTACAAAAGGGGAATGTGGTGGTGAACAGTAGTGAAGGATGGAGGATCTGTGGTGAATGGTGCTAACCTGGACCCAGCATCCACCTGTGCTACAGGGAGAGACTCATGATGTCTGTTCGGAAGGTAAATTCTTGCCTGTACTTGACTGCACAGATTTCTTGCAACTTGTCAGATACACTGGGGCAGAAAACACAATTCTTCTTCTTAGTAAGAGGATGCATAACTTGGAAAAACCACCCCTGTAAATCTGGCTCAATAGGAAGAAAATCTATGAAATTTGCTTAAAATATGAATAGCAGAAGATATAACACTATCTAATGCCATTACAGTCACGAGAGGGCCAGAGCCACACTATCCCACTATCTATCTTAAGAGGAAAAGGGTTCAAAGTCAGTACTACATTCTTTTTCTTCATATTTATAGCTAAAGTTAAATCTTGAGATTCTTTGAATGTTTATTGACATTCTTTTCTATTATTGCTTTTATTTGTTGATATTATAATATAATTACATTTCTCCCTTTCCTGTCCTCCCTCCAACTGCCACTCCCTAATAGCCCTTCTTGTTCTTTTTCAAATTCATGACCTATTTTTCTTCAACCTGACTCTCTACACATGAAATGGACTGGGACAACACAACAGACATGCCAACATGGCGTGGGGAAAACCCAGGAAGCCTCAACCGTAGCAAAGAACTACAGGCAACTAAGGAAAGCTGAGAGAGGGAGAAACAGTCTTCCCTGGGGAAGGGCATACCAATTGTTTGTGCAATACCAAATGAAATTCTTATATGTGCATTTCACCAAAAGACTGTTTTGAGAACAGTAGCTAGCATTTCCATGAGATATCCAAGGTATTTTGAATTCAGTTCAGTGTTAGGCAATAACTACTTTCCAGCTTTAAGTTTTGAAGTGAGGAATATAACAGAATATCACAGAAGAAATGCTAACAGAAAATTTAGTAGATGAATAATTTCCCCAAAAATGTTCTAGTAAGTAATGCTCTGTGATCAAGTAATCGGGTGTATATAGAGAGCCAAAGATTGTTATAAAGGGCAAGTATAGGCTGAGTAGACTCAGAGAAAGGGTGTGTTGCCACAAGAAGCTCCACCAGAAATGCACCCCAGGAGCAAGGGACACAGAGCTGAACTTTGAATATTTGGCAACATGAAACTAAAGAGCCAAGCAGAGGTAAGTCATTCCCATCCAAGAGAATAACTACTTGGGACTCCTACAACTCTCAAATCAGTGTGTTGGCGAATCCAAAGAAGAGAATGCCAGGGCATAAGGCCTGAGAATTCTTGCCAATGCCAATGCTTCATATGCAAATTCAAGGTGGATTTTCCCAAAGGAACAGGAGAAAGTAACATACAGAGGATTTCCAGAAGCCAGTACCATTCAAGGAGGATGTTTGAGAGTAGGAGAACTAATGCACACTCAAACATCCTCCTTGAAGTTCAGCTGGATCAGGAGAACTTGATGTCTGGATGAAATAGGTAGAAACGTTTTCCCCTCTCAAACAGTCCTTGGCTTGCGGACACTGAAAAAAAAAGTAGGAGAATACTACAATTCTCTAATGCTTGTACTGTAAACTTTTATTTACAAGCAGAAAATAATTTATTCTAGGCTTTCATACACTTTAACACCACAAACATGTTTTTATAAATTACTACAACCCATTCCATATGATCTTTCTAGATGTTAGGTCAATATGAGTTGTTATGTACAAACTAGTTATATAAAGATAGAGAAATTGAATTAGTGATTAAAAAGTTTTAAAAACAACAACAAACTGGTCATTGTTTGATGATTGATTTTTTTTCTAAGTTGTTGTACTCTTGAATCTGCCAGCTGTAGAAAAAAAAATCCTTCCTTATTTGGACTTGTAAGAGAATTATCAAGGGAAAGGTTAGAGCAAGGCCAAAGGTTCAATGCTCTGTAGAAAGAAAGAGACACAACTAACATCATATTTAATGGGGAAGACCAGGTGCTTTCTTGAGTGTGGTGGAACACACTTGTAAAGTTGGGAAGATGGGAAGTTGGGAGATGGAGGCATGGAGGATCAGGAGTCCATAGTCGTCCTTCTCTAAGTGAACTCCAGGCTAACCTGGGAAGTAGTGGGAGATTCTAACCCACCTCTCAAACAAAAGAAACTGGATCTTGATTCTAGGCTTTATTTGTAACTGTATCCAATTCCCTAAATTGCATCATCAGATGTGTGCTTAAAAAAGCAACTCAGGCAAAATGACAAGGAGAAAGAGATCTTGAAAAACATTAGTAGGTGTGATAGTTAAAGGAGGAGAAATCCCAGCTTTATTCAGTTTATAGAAACTAATAGGCAGTAGATTGTAGATTAATCTTTATTGAGCACCCAGAGAGTTTAACTTGAGTTTTCCTCTTCTTGGTGACAGACAACAGAAGGATCTCTTTGACATTGTGCCAACATACTGTAAAGCCTTTGTAGCTAAGGATACATACCTGTGGAGATAAGAAGACAATTACTGCATCAATATGTCAATAAATCCATGATGAACATACACTTTAAGCTGTCCGGGGCACCATCATCTAGCTAGAAAACCTGAGCAGGGCTTGTAACTAACCAGCAAGTCGGACAGCAGTGGGACATGAGAATAGTAGGTGGATTTCAGGGATTCTCAAAGTAATACGAGTGTGTCAGTGCCCATACTGGTCTCCTAGGAATCCTTGGAATACATCGTGCTTCTCCATAGAGCTCTAGGCAGATTGCTGCCTTTATATTCTTACAGATTTAACATAAAAATCTACTTTTTGAAAAAAGTATATGATTTAGTGTTAGTAAACTTCTGGGTGGTAGATCTCTAAGACTTGCTATCTGGTATACCTGAAGCTTAGTGTCCTTTAACTAACACCTGTCAATCTTCCTCTTTCTCAGGCTAGTCATAGTACTTTAAGAGGGTGGAGTTTATGCTAAGTTTTCCTGTAACAAACATTGGCTATAATGAACAAGAAAATGGGGGAAGTTTCAGAAGTAACAGCTATGTTTATGGTATATAAAGATTTCATGGGCGCATACTTACCTACAAACTCAAGTGCATAGATTAAATAATAGGTACAATTTCTGTGTGATAATCCCACACCAATAAATTGGATTGTTAAATTAAATTATATATGTAATCATCTTTCATTTTAGCTGTGTCATTTCCAATGCAGTATCCAATGAGAATGAGAACATCTTCATTTTTCATATGATAATAATCACACATTGTCTTGAATAACTCACTCAGTATTCATCTAAGCCTCTTTTTCTTTACATTTTTAATTTATTTTTGAGATAATATATTGCCACATTTCTCTCCTCTTTTTCCTCCCTTCAATGTTTCCCATTTACCTCTCTTGCTCTCTTTCAAATTCTTGGCCTCTTTTTTCATTAATTATTATTGCATATATATATGCATATGCATATAGCGATGAAATACTTCCATACCTAAAGCTTAGAGAACATAGCAAAAAAGAGGGTGGAAAGATTGTAAGAGCCAAAGATCAGGGAGTTTGCTCTGATATCGTGTGTCCTAATAATGTTAGACTCTAAACCCATGATGTATTCACAATATGACTACCCAAACACTAGCTGGACAAAGATGACACCAATAGACTTGGGAAAGGACACAGGGGGGAGCTTAGGATGCTTCAACCCTGAACTACAGGCAACTAAGGAATGCTGAGAGCAGGAGGAACAGTCTTTCCCAGGGAGGAGCACACCAACTGGTTAGCCAACACCAAATGGTCAGCCCTGGAAACATACGTACAAGTAACATTACACAGAGTAAGCCTCTATTTTTTTGAGATAACGATTCCAGAAAATGTGATTGCTGTTTGTTGGCATAACTCAAAATCTCAGCACTAACTTTTATTATTTTCCTCCCCAAATCTTGATTGTAACAAAAAATAAAGAAAAGAATAACTTTTGTCTCACAAGAGGACTGTGAAATTACATATGATTTATTTAAAAGTATTTCCAAAAATAGGATATACTTAGCAAATGCAGTACATTTAAACAAATAATAGTGCTAATAACAATCATCACAAAGTATTAATCCACCGATGATGCAAGAAAAGAATTTCATAATACCAGCAATTGACAAATAGAACTTCATGAAATTAAAAGGCTTCCATTTAACTAATTCAGCGAAGAGACAGATTACAAGATGGGATACAATTTCAGATTATTATTTGTCTGACAGAGGATTAATATCCAGAAAACACAAATAATTAAACTAAATAGCAAGAAATTAAACAACTCACGTAATAAACATTTAGTTCTTTTAAAATGAATTACAAATGACCAGTAAACATAAAAAACTGTTTAGCCTCACTAGCCATCAGAGAAATGAAAATTAAAATTACATCTCACCCCAGATGGAACCTTAGTCATTAAAAGAGCAAATGTTGGTAAAGATATGACCAATGGGAAACCTTTATACACTGTTGGTGAGAAGACAAACTAGTCTGGGATTTGCAAATGGCTGGGTGGGCCAGTTTTAGGGGTTTACCTTGAACATTCCAAGTCAAGGTATTACCGAGACATCTGCATATCAATGTTTACCTCAGCACTCATCACAACAACTGAACTATGGAACCGTCCTATATGTCCATTAACAGAGGAGAGGGATGGATAATTGTGGTACAATTCAATTTCAGTCATGAGGAAGACAAAGTTATGTCATTGCAGGAAAATGTATATAACCTAGGACAATCAATCATATTAGGTGAATTCAGCCAGTCTCATAAAACACATGTTTTCTCAATTATGGTTTCTAGATTTTAATAGATATATATAATCAAGTATGTATATAAGATGTGAAAGTAGATGTGAAATTTTCAAGATGGAGGATTCATGGGAAGAAGAGGGAAAGGGCAGAGTTGGAGAGTCTGTGAGCAATAAGTGCAATGTACAGTGAATGCATGTGTGAAAACACAGTATCATGTACAACGAGCAACACAATAATTTTTTATTTAAAATAATAAAGTAAAATTAAAACTAAGTGAATTTCATCCTTTTGGTCTTCTCTCCTAAAGTGATCAGCCCAAATTCCTGTCTACCAACCAAATTCTGTCAAGAATAATTTAACAAAAATTCTACAAACATGTACATCTTCAAAAGGATATTTGATTAGTCCTTAATGTGTGCTGACCATTATTCTAGCCACTGACGATGGTGGAGCTCTTGAGTGTTGGAAAGAAGTTAGGTGATGTCATTATTTAAGTGTGAAATGTAGCATCCAAGCTCACCTGATCACTAGCTGATGTCACTGTTCTGGAAGGATCTGAAAACTTTAGGATGTGAGGCCTGTCTGGAGAAGATGGGTTGTTCTGAGGAGATATGAGTTAGGGACCAGTCAGGCCCTGCTTTCTAAACTCTCATGGTCTCTGCCTCTCTTTGTGTCTGCCTCTCTCAATCTCTATCTCTCTATCTCTATTCTCATCCCAGTCTCTCTCCATCTTTGTCTCTCTCTATCTCTCTCTTTCCATTTCTTTCTCTCTGTGTGTGCATCTCCATCTCTCCTTGAACCCCCCACACCCAACCTCCACTAGACTTTCTTCCTTAAGTTGCTTCTTTCAGCTGTTTTATCAAAACCAGAAAGGCAACTAATATGTATAATAGTAGATTTATATCAGGATCATGATGATTATTTTGTTATAAAATGAATTATTTATTAGAAAATAAAGTGTTGATTTGGAGTTTAATCAAACACATTTTCCTTATTTGGAAACTATCCCCCCAAAACTCAAATCCAAACCAACATCAATTTTAGAAGAAATAGTCCTTATTTTGTGAATGAACTATGATGTATGCATTTTGTTGAATTCTCATCTTTGCTATACTCTGCTGACTTTATCTGAGTTGAAAGAAAAATAAAAGGCTATTGGATGCTGAAAATACTCTAGGTGCTTTTATCTCATTCTTAGCTATACTTCTCAATGCTTCCTTTACAATGCCCAGGATATTGCAATGACTTCTTTAGTGATGAAGGTCCATGATCAATGGACAAGTCTGCAGTTCTTTCTTGTATTGTAACTTTAAATAATTACCTTGACATAATTTTACCATTAAACCTAATTGGAAAGAAGGTTTTGCCATGCCAAACTGACACCAGATATTCATATCCTAGTATACTACGTAGTGTGATTTCCCAGAGGCGAGGTCAGCAGGAAAGCTTGGGAACTGACATTTACCCATTTCTGCTGAGCTGTTTTCACAGGCTCCATGCCCTGTTTCCTGTATCTTCTTTCAACTCTGGACTCAGCAGGATTTCTACTACATCTGTCAGAGCCTCATCCTGTTGTTAATTCTAGTATAGAATCGATTCTATGTTTTGAGTATCATGAACCGTACCCTACAGGATTTACTTTCTGAATTACCCAAAGGAATTAATGGGAAGCTCTTTTGTCACTAATGCAGACTTGAAGCATGGATGGGATCACTGTGGCAAACCCTTCAGCAATTTATGTCTCTTGAACATGGTTTCTACTTTTAAAATAGTGTACAAATCATTGTTTGGATATCTTGTGATTCATAACTTAGAGACACAAGGAACAGATCAATCATTCTTCTACCTTTCTTCTAAGAGCAATGGCTACCACAGCATTTTCTCCACTGGTCAGAGTCTGTCAAGGATCATGAGCATGTTCTTCATTCTTTAACCCATCAAAAATAATCTAAGTACTTGCATAGTTCTATTAATACTAAGGTTTTGTCTACTATGCCTACCAACAGAAAAAATATTTAAAAAAATAAATAAGCAAGGCACTCTCAGATGCTCATGAGGATTCTGGAAAAAAAGAAATAGGTTCATGAAAAAGGAGTCTGGAGAAACTGACTAAAGTAATAGCAGTCAGTCTGATCGATGGCATTAATATTTGAGAATGAGCCATGTTGTGGTTTAAAAATGAAATGTCCCTTCAAAACATTCATATGTCAAAGGATCGATGTTGCTATTTGAGAGGTGACTGGATAATGAGAGCACCAACTTCATCAATGGATTAATCCATTGATTGGTTAAATGGGCTTTTAGAAGATAGAACCTAGGTGGAGAAAGTGTGTCATTGTGGGTGTGTTTCAAGGGTTTCTTAACAATGTGCCCTCTCCCTCTCTCTTTCTCTCTCTCTTGCTCTTGACTGTCATGAGGTGAGAAGAACTTCTCTACCTTGCTGCAATCTTTATCATGATTTTATATCAACACATGCCCATAAAGATAGGTCCAACAAACCCTAGACTAAACCATGAGCCCAAACTAATCCTTTTTCCTTTAAGTCAATTTGCACAGGTAAGTTATCACAGTGATAGAAGCAAATCAGCATATATCTTTGGTTTGTTTTAGTTTTAATCACCACTTTACTTTTTAGTTAGCAAAGTAATGAGTTTCATTGAAAGTACTTTGTTCTTATCCACCTCATTCCCCCACTACATTCCCTCATGTTCCCTTGCTCCCCTTACTAGTTTCCTTCCCTCAAATTATTCTCCTCTCTGTTTTCATAATAGTTTTCTTCCATTACTTTCTATTTTCTCCCCTACCTCTTAAGGACACTTACGGACTCTCTTATCATCCCCTTTCAGTTTTCATGACTAATACAGACATGGACAGACAAACAGTCAAAGAGATGGACACACACATCCATACACACAAATTAAAAAATTCTGCATATGAGAAATACATGGTGTTTGCCTTTCTGAATCTGTGTTATTTTGCTTAACCTAGTGATTTCTACCAGTGTTTATAGGCTTTACTTCATGGCAAAATACATTTCCATTGTATACATAGACCACATATTTTCATTCATTCATCTATTGATGGAAATTGAGTAGTGTTTTAGCTTTTGTTTGAAAAGGAAGGCAACACAAGATCCACAGCAATCGTGGATGTATAGAAATTTAGTGTATTCAAAGAAAGCATTTAACAAGAGGTGGGCTCATAGTAGACATGTAATAAATATGAGGTTATTATATTATTATTATCTTTAAAGGATGCAGAATAGTGCTTTCTGATTTAATATTTTCAAGTACTTGGTACTTTTTTCTTACAACATTCCATTGAAAGGTATGTATATTGCATTACTGTAATCCAATTTAAAAGGTAGACAACATAGTGTGGCCAGGGAAAATAATACTCTAAGGTCTGCCAATAGCCAGGACATGATTCATTGTTCTGCCCTTAACTAGGGAATTACTCATCTTGTGTCAGACATTCTGTTCTGTTCCAAAGATGGAAGCTCAATGTGCCTCATACCTTCAAGAGTGTTCCAATCTAGGAAGACAAAGAGAAATAAAATTAATCAATATAAGACAAAGGACTAACTCTCTCATGATCTCCTTTCAAATTTGTACCAGAACATAGTTCACAATGACAGGGATGGATGATTGCCTACAGTGAGAAAGAGCAGGGAGAAAGACAAAGTTTACATGAAGAAGGTAAAACTTAAAAAGAACTTTGAAAACTGGTCAAGATGACAGGTCTGGGTGAGGCATGCTGGCCAGAGTGGAGAGTCATTAAGACTAATGTCTTCAGGGACTAATACGAATACTGATACTTGATCAGCAAAAGAGAATTCTATTTTCACTTAGCAATACAGATGGGACCACCAATGCTAACAGAGAAGGAACTGATGGATTACTGAATAAATCCCTGTTGTGCTAGATTTCAGAAAATGTTGCAAGAAGATTCACTCCATGATTTAAACATTGGAAATGCTAGATTTAATAAAATTAGTGTGCTTTCTTCAATATCAGCAAGCATTGCTTGCTGACGATCCTTGGCTGACTAAGAGGAAGGGAGCAAATGCAGTGTTTCTGTCGGAAGCATTTCTTCTTTGGAGGTCTCTCTCTCCCGGGCTTACCGGTGGCCTCGTACCTTTACCTGAATTTCCTTCTACAAATGTCCTCATTTGTCCTTGTCCTCATTCTTACTTAAAAAGACACCAGGCTGTGGACTAGGTGCCATTCCTTTGACCTCTTTAAGTATCTTATCTCCAAATTCAGCCACTTTGCAGGCAGTGGGTTAAGATTTCTATATATGGGTGGGCAGAGGACAGGCATAATTCAACTCATCATGCCCTAGTTCTCTATCTGTAATACCCCCAACTTAAGACCTCCAATTATTCCATGACAAGAATGCATGCCCCCCTCACCGATGATCTTAGAAGATCATCTACCAACTTGAGTCTGATTCTGTGTCTGGGTTTGACTTCCCATGAATGTTTCACATGAGTAAACAGCAGCCATGACAATGAATGGTGATTCTGTGTGAGTACACACTGTGTGCCTTATTCACATCTTGGCTCTTAGCACCGGGCTTGGTACAAAGTGAAGCTCAATGTCAATGCACACGGCTTTGCTTTTGTTTTACTTCCTGGTCTTGTGCGTCTGATTGACACTGGCCAGCTTCAGTCACTCCCGCATGGGTGATGATGGAACCAGTATGAAGAAAAAGGTATAAAAATAAAATGAGAAAATGAAAATCAGCAACTGTTTCCTCATTCCCAGACAATAAGTAGAGACAGAATAAACCTGTGTTCTTTACATTTATCACTTATGATTGGCAACACAAAGATTCATTTCCTCGGATGTCTGTTTTGAGCATTCAAGGTTCTCCAGCTGTGGGTTTGCAACACTGACTAATGCTTTGAGGCACTAAGACGCAGTTCTTATGGAAAGGACTTTTATTAAGTGGACAGCAGGAGTGTCACAGGCAAGGCATCACCACAGTACATTAATTTAGAGAGAAAAAGGTTTCCGTGTAACTTAACCAAACCGAACAGCTATTTCCACTTTACCTGAATAAAGTATTTTCATGTTTTATCACACTAGTTTGCAACTGCAAAAGCTTCACCCAGTTTTTAAGAGTTGCTATGAACTGTCAGGATACATTATTTGAAATGAAGCCTGACAGCTCCGTGCTTGGAAGTAAAATACATTTTATTGTTTAAAAGCATTTCTCCATCACCTCACTTTCATCCCTCCACAAACCCCACCTACCCTACCGTCGCTCATATGCACACACTGCAAACATTCTGCAATGATTTCTTCCTCACCAAATAGGAGGAAAGTCCTAAAGATGAGGTGTTCTTTTTTTTTTATTTTGAAAGGAACCAGAAGAATAATGACAGAGTTAGGTCTTCACATACAAAGCAAATAGGTACAGAAGAGATGCTTCTACTAAAGAATTGCAGAATTAGAAGCAAAATAAACAAAAAGGTGCTGAATCAATATCTGGGGGCTGATGATTCCCCCAATCTTCTTGGGCCTCCACTACATATGTCCCTGGCTTGTGTAGTTCCTGGAACTGCCATGAAGACATTAGCCTGATTGCTCATCTGAAGGAGAGTGACAAGGTGAAGTTGTTCATCCTTTTTATAACACTTACTAGAGATTCTTGGGTCTTTAAAGTAATCTCTGGCCTGGTCCCAAATTCCAGTGCTGCTGGCCTGTCACAAAATGCTGTTTTGCCAGAGAAAATTCTCCCTAGAACCTTTGAAATTATCTTGAGGTTCCTCTGCACTCTGGGTATCCTTAATATTTTTTTAAGACATAGTCTAGGAAACACCAATGTGGGAATCTTTTGCCAGTGAATTCTCTGCTCCAAAAATGCATAGCTATCTTCCTACCATGGTGTCACTGTTTCTGAAGAGATGAAGGATTCTATTCTGAGAGTGCACTGCAGGAAAGGAAGAACTGGGAAAAATTAACTCACAAATGCAAAGCTTTGTTGTTACTGATGCTCTATAATTGAAGCCTCATCTCCCATGTATATTATCATCTGGCAAACTAGTTACACATTTAATAAGGTTTTGCTGTATAAATTATAAATGAAATAAACAATTCTGTTACCATGGTGTGCAATGAATACACCACATGTTACATGTAAATATATTAGTCGTTTGCCTTTTGTTTATGTGTCACTGAAATCCATTTTCTTTATGCTGTATTTTCTATTCCCTATGGGTTCCAGAGTCGTTTTAGTCCTCCGCATATTGGCCTTTAAAGAGGAATGATGTTGTTATTGTCCTCTTCCTGCCCAGTTTTAATAACACCTGCTTTTTGTGCCAGTTTCATTTACTGCTGCAAATTGTTAATTCAACAGAGAACAACCAAACCAAACCAAACCAAAACAACAACAAAAAAACCCAACCACCCTAACAGTAAATGTGACTCCAGAAATGAGCTGTGTGATATATTGACACAATACAAAGAACATATTGAAACAATTTTTATTCTCATTATTTTCCCCCAAATTAAATATGCCCATAAAGCAAGTTTACATATTCTGCATGTCTCTCTCCACTCTCAACCCAAACCCTTGGCTTTTAATGAGATAATTAAAACAAAACAAAACAACAACACAAAAAAGAGAATCAAAACTCAGCCTTTCAAGTGGTGGCATTTTTATTTGAGTAGCATAGATGTATGAAGGATGAAAATGTGGACTCTTTCAGTGGCTCTCCACAGTGTGACAGCTGTGGATGGGATCAAGACAAAAGCAGTGACTGCTCCAAGAAAATGATGGCTTAGGCATTTCCAGCCCAATCAATAATCTGGCAAGTTCAGGTCAATCGCTTCATGGCCGTATTTAGTTCAAGCCAGTCAAAGATTATTAGCTTGATGCCCAGGGGCTATTACTTGCTGCTGTGGATGGCAGAGGGTGCTTATGCTCATCTCTTTAGAACCAAATGTAGAGAGAGTATTTATAGCGATGGGACCACCACACAGACTTCAGAGAGAGTCCAGGTTTGTCAGGACTAAACTGATACCACATAACAGTCTCCAGGTTCAATGATTCTTCAAAAATTTATACTAATATTGCTTTATATTTCATCCACTCCAAAACTTTAAGGAAATGTTTTGAAACTGCTACTGTACTTCTGGTTCTGACTTTGGATCTGGGGATAGAAAAAGGAATAAGAATGCCTTATTCATGATGCTAGATAGGACCACCTAGATGATCACCTAAAGGAGTTAATGATCTAATCTTCCCAGACCATTGCATTTCCATTCTTACCTTATCCTGACATATTACCAACACAATACTGGAAAGATCTTGCCTGAGCAGAAGGACAGGCTGTAGATAATCATTATTTCCGATTAGTTATGGGCTAATGGTATTGTGATCTGATCAAAGGGTTGGTTAAAAGTGAAGTCCAGAATGCATTCAAAGTGTTGTAAATTACTAAAAGGGCAATGGAGCTAACCAGGGAGAGCCATTTCGAGCTGGCTACCAGTTCCATCTCTGCAGCCTGTGGAAGGCATTCAGTTGCCCACCACAGCTTCCACATATGTACGCCAACAGGAAACAGTTTGTGGAGAGGAGGGATCCAGAGGAGTTCATGGAAGAGGCTCTTGCTGTCGGATACTTCACCATCATGTTTTACTGTTTCTCCTGGATGGCATGCCACAGAGTATAATAAATCTCAGTTTGTTTATATTCTGAGTCTGTATTTGCACTTTGGTGATTATATTTGAATTCATGCAAGATCCCTTTTTTTTTAAGAACTCCAGCATAATCTTCTCATTAACCCTGTCCTGTTTGTCTGTTATTAATAGGCCACTGTACAATGTATTCTGCTGCAAAACTCCACCAGGCATGACTAATTCAGATAATTAATTTGCTAGAACATTAACACCATCAAATGAGCCTGCTAAACCGGTAAATTTAAAGTAAATTAAACTTAATGTGCAGGTTATTGCAATTAAGTCTGCCTTGTCTTTCTGAGGGATTTCAACATCCTCAGTATTTAAGAGGCAATCATAATGCATGCAAGTGGGCGGGCTTTTTGGCTAATTAACACAAGAGTCTAATCTGCTTTTCAATTAGGATGGATGTTTATAATGTGCGGGTGACAGTGTTGCGATTCTGTGCAGCATAACAGGAGTGCACGGCATAATTATTGCTGAAAAGAGAGGCTCATGCCGGGCCTTTTTAGGGGTTAATGAGACATTGGCAGCTTCCAGCTGAGGAGATCGAGCCAGTTTAGTGTGGCTTCAAGAGGAAACCACCCATAGGGGTTTCCTTTGAAGTGTCAAAAGGTCCCCTTGTTCTGGGTGGCTTATGTTTCATTTGTCTGAGTGGCATATCAAAAATTGATGAGCTGCCAGCAGCAGTCCCTATGACATTAATTCACCAATTGTGTTTCTAATAGTTTCATCCTTAAATAAATTTGGATGATGAGAACGGTAAGGAGAGTCAAGGTTCTGAAAACAATGAGGAGAGCCAGGCCAGCGTTCAGTTTTTATACAGTACAGACGAATGTAGCAGTGGTAAATGTTAATGGCAGGCCAGGCCTGCTGTACCCTGGGTTATTAGCTGGTGCAAGACAAAGATGCATTGTGCCGGTGGCCTCTATTGAACAACAGTGGCTCAGACAGCAATAAAGATGTGGCCTTCAGTGACACATGGTTTAAACTCTAAATACTTGGGAGAAGAATCTCACACGAGGCTTCAGAAGATGAAATGTGGAGGAAGCCGAGGTGAATGTTTCTTGCAAGCCCTAATAACAAAGTCCTGTGTGCGCAGGGCTGAGACTGAGACTTGGTAGTAGCCAAGTAAGCACATAATAAGAACAACGCCACCCTTAAGTAAAGAAATAACTCCCATTTCCCTTGTATCTGGAATAAATAGTAATCAAGGCGGTTTGAGGCTCCGTTTGAAGCTAAGTTGTTGCTGAACACATGCATGGAAGTCCTCATCCGGAACATTTAGAGTCCAATTCATATAAAGGCAGGCCAAGTAACTATATTTTTAAGACTTCAAGACTCTGTGGCGATGTAGTCATAAAAACAAGAAGCTACAATTTGGGACTATTTTAAGAATGAAGACCATACTTAGCATGCCCCCAAATTATCTGGGTAAGAACATAGTTTGGAAGAACTAATGCTATACTTTCAAAATATTTAGGAGAGCACAGAAAAAGGTGATGAAATGAAAAGCCTAGACAAAACTAGAGGTGCTCACCACTACAGTAGGGCACATTTTCCTTTAATAATACCGAATTATGTCTGATGATTATAAAGAGAATTGCAAAAGGGGACTTTCCTCTGGACTTTATGTATATGCATAAAGCAAGTTATTGCTGTGTAAAACACTGCTCTTGCACAGACATGAATGAGGTAGTCATGTAATGTATTCCAATTGTTGGTGAAATCACTAATCTAATTATGTAAGTTAGTTGTAAACTCTCCTAAACTACTATTGTTATAGAGTTAGCCATATTCACAGAAAGCTGCCACATAGTATAACAGATACTGCTAAATAAATAAATTGATGCATTCATTTGTGTGTTTATGTTTTCAGCATTATTATTTTTGTTGTTATTGTCATTATTATATGAAAAACCCTGTACAATTAGCCAAGATGAGGAGGGGGAGCTCATGTCTCTGTGATACAAAGATGGCAATAAATTTGAGAAATGAGACAGAATTAGTCACCTAAGGGACCACTTTAAACTGAATGTGAGGGGAAGGTTTGCAAAGAAGCAACATTTATACTGAAGTCTAAATAGTACTAAAAGTTTTAAGTAAGACATGACCTATTTTGTAGTTTTAAAGAATTATTTTGCCTCTTATCTTGAAACTAAAAGTGTCACAGTAGAGCACTGAAGAACATCAGCCATGTACCCTGAAGCTATTCCATTCTTCCTTCCAATGTCCTCCTGAAACCACTGCCCACTGAACTTCTGGAGTCAAAAAGTAAATTATTGTACATTTAAGTGGGAGTATGGAGTTGAAACTCAAACACATGAGTATGGATTTTGGATTTTAAGAGGAATTCCGTGTTACTTGAAGCCAAAAGAAGGAATATCTTGATATTTCTTTCTTTAAACATCACATATAATTCTGTATTTAGAGCTGAAGATGTAAGCACAGAGGTATCAGCATGTAATCAACAATATAGGGTAGTAAATCATGCCTGGTGAAGAATACAGAGGAAGTGGTGGAGTCCCGTCATTAAGTTACAGAAAACAAGAGGAGTCAGCAAAGGAGGAAGAAGCTGAATGGACACGGAAGTCAGGGAGCAAGCATGAATATGAAGAAGGACACTGCAAACAAAGGGGTGTGCTTCGAGAAACACACAGCAGCCAGCTGGGTTGAATGCTAATGAGAGATTGAATAAGATGAAAAGACACAAGTGTCTATTGGATTTAGCATCATGAAGGTCAATTGTGACCTTGACAAGAGTCATTTTCATGATGTGAAGGGCCAGAAGGAAACCTGCTTGGGGACAGAATGGTTGATGAGGAAGTTGAGACAGTGGTCACAGACCATCATGGGGGAATAGAAATAGAATGGTGGCTGGGAGGGAGACCCGAGAGATGCTTTTGAAAATGGAAGAACTTGGGAGTGTGTTGGTAAGTGTGTGATTTTTCTGTTTCCCAGAATAGAGGAAAAGTAAATATGATAATAGGGAGCCCAAGTACATGGGGAAAGAAATGTCCTTTGGTGCCAGCCAAAGGCCTGGGAACTGAAGGAGAATCAGTTTGGGGAGATGCTCAGCAAGGGACCAGGAAAAACAAAACTCATGAGAAATAGTTTTTGAGGGCCCCAAATAACAAAATAATAATGACGTTCAGTTCTTAGTTTTATTTTCAGTGTGTTTTATAAATTGATACACATTTAATGAAAATGGAACAAATAAGGAAACACATGTTTATATTTTAAGAATAGTGAAGTGCTTCAACAGTGAAGAACACAGGCAACTGTTTCTCTGTGGGTGAAAAACCCATGATAAGACCTAAAATCAGGAATAATCTAGCCCTTGAGACCTGGATCCATTATGCAATTAGAGACAGTTCATTTGTACTGGATCTTTGATGGAAAGTTGTCTGTGGGCTTGTGGTTTATGCCTGTGTTGGCCATCCTTGCCACCTTCTTGTGGGTCCTTAGTAGCTTGTCTTTAAATGTCTTTAAAAATCCTGAGCTCTCTTTCATTTTTATTAACTAGTGTAAGAATTGGAAAGAAACTTGATTCCTTTTTATGGAAGAACACACCAATTTATTATCCAAAGGGTCAGCCATGAGAACATCCAGACAAGTAACATTATGCAGAGTGAGTGAGTTATATTTAGGGATATATATGTATATAAATATACATGTATGAATGTAGCAATAATTATTGAGAAAAGAGGCCATGAATTTGAAAGAAAGCAAGTACGATTTGGAGGGAAGAAAGGGACTTGAGAAATGATGTGATTATATTCTCAAAAAATTCTTGAAAAAGTTTAAAAGTAATAATTTTATGTTTCTGTGAACTTCATACAAGAGCCCTGATTCTATATCAGTCCCACTCTCTCTTCTCATTCCAATTCCTTTAATGTCTTCTCAAATTCATGATCTCTTCTTCAATTATTGTTATACATATATTCATACATACATATACATATGTATATGTTCATATATGTATACACATATTCATATATAACTTAGTAAATCCATTTATCCCTGCTTGTATGTACATGTATGCTGGGATGACCATTTGGAATTGGGCAATATATGTGGGAGCCAATGGATGGAGGAGGCTGATTCTCCTTACCTCGGCAGGCACTGATCATCTGTAGTTCTTCATCTAAGGGTAGGGTCTTGTGAAACTTCCCCCATTCTTGTTGGTGTGACAACTGGTGGTATTGTCATGCAGGTATTGTTCAGACAATCATACTGTTGAGAGTTCATGGTGCAGATTCTCAGAAGACACTGTCTCACAGCATACATCCTGATCTTCTGGCTATTACCTTTCTGGTCCCTCTTCCACAAATTTCCTTAAGCCTTAGATTTAAATGTTACAATAAAAATATATGAGTTGGAATTTGGCACCTCAGACATGCGTCTGCATTTTAACCAGCTGTGGTTTTCTGTGATAGTTTCCATCAATGTAAAATGGAGTTTTGGGGTTTTTTGTTGTTGTTTGTTTGTTTTTGTTTTTGTTTTTGTTTTTGTTGAGGGCTGAGAGCCATAGCTGTCTGTGGGCATAAGGTTATTTAGAACACATTTAGAAATTATATTGATTTAGGAACATGACAATTTTTTTCTCTTGGGTCTATGACTTCTCCAGCTATTCCCTCCTACTGTGTTATCTTTAAGTCCAATAACAGAGCTTTTTGTTACCCCCAAGATAGTAGTGCTGCTATTGTACCATTGTGAATATCTTGCTGATCTCGTCATTGGTGTGGTTCATAGACTTTACAGATGGGTAAGTTAACTGACTGTTCCTCTGACTTGGCAGTTTGCATAGCACCTTCCAATACTATGAGAGATAGTCCTCAAAGAGGAGGTAGCAGGTCAGTTCAGTCAGTCTTGATTCCTCAAAGACTTTTGTCCAAAGTGTGTGGTGTCTTCAGCACCAGGTTCTTACATTTAATTTCTGGGCGGCAACCAAAGGCGACAGCAATAGTCTATGTTGTTTTGGGAGTCTCTTATACTTCCTTGACCAATAACGTTTGAACTTGGAGATTTTATATATATATATATATATATATATATATATATATATATATATATGTGTGTGTGTGTGTGTGTGTGTGTGTGTGTGTGTATACACATATATTAAACATGTAAGTTTCTTGTTATCTTGAGCAAGGAGTACAAGCATTTCTTCAATATACCAATTTTGGGTATAGAGTCAGAAGTAGAATTATTTGGCCGAATGAAAACCATGGGTTTTGTTTTGTTTTGTTTTGTTTTTTAAGAACTTCTAGGCTGCTTTCTAAATTGTATATACTGACTTACAATACCACCAACCATGTTCAAGGATTCTTTCTTCTCTAAATCCTAGCCAACACTTAACTTCCATCTTTGTAATAATAGCCATCATAATAGGATTTTGTTTCCAGTCACATTTTAATTTGCATTTCTTTGATCTATCACCTTTCATCTTTATCAGCTATACATCTGGCAGAGGGTTAGAATTTAGAATTTCCAAAAGCTAAGCATCAAGAAAACAAACAACCTTATTAAAATTGGGCGCAGAACTAAACAAAGAGTTCTTACATAATAAAATTCAAATAGTTGAGAAATTTTTTAATGTTCAACATCCTCAACTTCCTTAATTTCTTTCATTCAGGGAAATGCATATTAAAACTACTTTGATATTTTATCTTACCTTGATCAGAATGGCTAAGATAAAAAAAGGAAAAGACAAATGCTGACATGGATGTAGAGAAAAGGAAACATTTATTTATTGCTGGTGTGAATGCAAACGGGTGCAACCAATAGAGAAATCAGTGTGGAAGTTCTCAAAGAACATGAGTCAGCTGTGTTACTCTTGAGCACATACATAAAAATACCTTCTCACCCATGTTCATTTCTGTTTTATTGACAGTAGGCAGGAAATAGAAACATCCTCTGTGTTCATCCAAGGATGAATGGATATTGAAAATGTGGTGCATTTATACAATGATGATGGAAGACATTAATTGTTTTCCTCATATCTATTTGCTATTTATATGTCTGGGTTTTTTTCATATATCTTCTGATCCTTTGTCCATCTTTTTCATATATACAATTTGCAAATATTTTCTCCAAATATATAAATTGCCTCTTCCCTCTTTTCATTATTTACTGTACAGAAGTTCCTAGTTTAACCAGATACTTTTATTTTCACTGACCAAATAGAGAACTAGATGTAGTTTTTCTGTGAAGTTTCCATTTACCCACAACAGCTTATTGGCTGGCTCTTTATACTACATGCATTACTTAGTATAAGCCCCTAACTGATAACTAATAAATTGGATTAATACCAGTTAAGATAATTTCTTTGGGATGTATCTAGATAGCAGTGAAGATTCTATCTCAGGACTTCTAACTTCAGATCCTAGAACTTTCTATTCTGTGCCATCAACAAATAGGTAAAAAAAAAATTCTTTCTAATTTTAAGCCTATTTAGGTGAGAATCCAGCAAACTTCAAGGATGCTATTTTCATAAACATAACACAGTGTTCATTCACAGTAATAGGGAGGACTATAAAATGCAATAGTATAAAACCAAGAATCTGGATATTCTTTAGTCAGCCATATGACTTTAAAGCATTCTCAGTATCTGTGAGTCAGATTAGCCTAGTATAGAAATGATACTGTAGCAACTCACAGTCCCAAAGGTTCAGTGATTGCAATAACTGAATTTAATTCTCACTCACATGATATGGCCTATGAGCAAAATATTATTCAGTTTCAAGCTCCAACTCAACATGTATCATAATCACATAGGTAGAAAGATGAGAATGCAATGAGCCTTTCTGTGTTCCCAAATTACATTTTCTGCATTCTTCTGCCCTGGGTATGTTTCATCAACCTCACTACAACATCTCTAAGCTCCCAAACTCTGAACTTCAGGCACCTATAGAATCTATCTCCCATTCTTCTCGAGCACCACACCAACCATTTACCAAATCCTGTAGATTATTCCTTCATCATATCTGACTTCAATGTGTTCAGTAGCTTTGTTACTATTACATATGAGACTACCTACCACAGACAACACTAGACACAGTCTTTTACTTTATATAAGAAGTGTAGTGCGTCATCAGAGAGACAAAACAGCCTGAAGCTGGAGTTGTAACCTATTTCTGTTCTATAGTGTTCCCTAATTTTCAGACCACCTAATTTCTGTAAAATGGGGATGATAGAGGCCTCCTCCTACAGGACTATCATAAGGATTAAATGGCCTAAGTGTTGAAATGCTTTGGATGGAATAAAATCCTGTAGACCTGGTAGGAATTGTCATTATTAATATTAATGTGAGCCAGGCAATAATAACCTTGAAGCAATTAGCAGCTGTTAATACACTAAACTGGATTTACTTGTCCTAATGAACTATAGGATGGCTTTATTGAAAGGGCAAAAGCAATTGTTAATTTACTCAAGCATCTATTAAGCACACATTATGTGGTAGATGCTGTGCTGGGTACAACAGACACTACAAGTCAAAAGAAAGTGGTTTCTGTCCTTATGGGTACTTGCACTGGTTACATAAAAATGAAACTATTATATGACAAACTAAAAAATAATCAAAGGACAATGAGAGACTTATAAGCATAAAGGTTATTTGGAACAGGCTGCATTAAGAGTGATTTAGTTGACTTGGGAGGATTGTGAGTTTGAAGCCAGTATACACTACCTAGTAGTCTTACTGTCTCAAAACAAACAAAAAAAGATGTTTTAGTTGAGATAGTAGAATTTGAGCTGGACAATTGAGAGAGGATAAGCTTTCCCCCATGAAGAGGATAACTGAGTACTAAAACACAATGAAGAGTTGACTAGAGAAAACTGAATAATAGCTCTATGACCTGCACAATGCCTTAGTCTCCCAACTGCTGAGCTGTGGTGAAAAATCACAAAAGGAAGGTGAAAGCCTTGCTTCTGAGACTAGAGTGTGCAGGGACTCCTGCAGAGTTGGCTACATTGACGGCTCTCTGCTGCAGAGGCGGGGATGGGACACAGTATTAGGCATTTCAGCAAGCTGTTAGATGATGCTGACAGATGATTACGGCCTGCATCTGAGATGCAGGTATGAATCACTTCTTACAGAGCCCAGAACACACTAGTCCAGCAGTTCTCAACCTTCCAAATTCTGTGACCCTTTAATATAGTTCCTCATATTGGGATGATTCCCAACCATAAAATTATTTTCAGTGCTACTTCATAATTGTAACAGTGCTACTATGAATGGGTAGTTTGACCCCCAAATGGGTCTCGACCCACAAATTGGGAACCACTGCACTAGAGTCTGCTCAGTAAATGGTCAAAAAAAAAAAAAAAAAAAAACAAGGCACCTCACTCTCCCCCGAATGCCCATTCAAATTCATGGCTTCTTATTCTTTGATTAACATTATCAGTAAATATTCTTATGTATGCAATCATCCCTAATCCTGTTAACAGCAAACAGGAGGTATAAAAGTGTAAGGTCTGCTCACCAGAGTTGCTTATTTGTATGTTTCTTAAATATGAAAGAATTGTGATTTTATTTTGTTTTCTTTTTTTGGCTTTCACATTTTATTTTATTTTATTTTATTTTATCTTATCTTATTTTATTTTATTTTATTTTATTTTAAGTTTGAGAAAGGGTTTCACATTAAGCCTAGGCTCTCCTAAAAGTGATCCTCCTGTCTCAGTCTCCTAAATACTGACATTACAGTGAGACACCATGCCCACTTAAATTGTGATGTTTTATAACTGACAAACATAAAGAAAATAAATTGATACTATGACATATATTTTCCGAATAGCAACTAACACTATCTTTATTTAATGAAATGACTGTCTCTTCAATTAAGAGCAATAATAATTACTTGAAGTTCTGGTAAACAGTTTTAAGAATTTTTTAAAACAAAAGTCCAGAATTGCAGCCTTTGCACAGACTTTGCCCATCATTTTGATCCAGTATTCAGAAGGTTTCAGTAGGTCTTACAGCCACCTCAACCTTCAAGAGCAGACACAGGCCAAAATCAGGCACAGTTCACTAGGCTATACAACCAGTTACTCCTCCCACAGACTTTCCAACAACAGGCAGTACATTCCCTTCTGCAAGACCGCAATTAATTTTTAAAATTCTGATGATTATCTATTGAGATGAGAACAGTTATAATAGGAAGATAAACAGTATACAAGATGTATTTCCCTGCTACTAGAATTTTTTAAACTGGATTACTGAGAAAGTAAATATATAAATATGCATTGGGCAGGGTGACAAATATCTATGGCATTTGTGATGGCAATAATAATAATCTGAGTTTGATAGTATCTCCACTACAGAATTTATATCTTCCTTTGTTTTATGGAATGAAACTTTTAAAAATTAAAAGAGTGGTTTAAGTGAGAATTGGGAAATGAGAAGAATTGGAGTGAGAAGGCACAGAACGGGTTGCAAGAACAGGGGAGGGGGAAATGACAGGATTAAACTTTAACTAAAAATTTCTAATCTTTAAATTTTCTTTAATGGAAAAACTACATTTCCAATACTTTGTTCATGTTTTAGTAGTTTTCTTTCTAAAACCTGTGGCACATGGATTCTTCTGGAATACAACTAACCCTACATCCAAGGCCACAAGTGCATGACTAATCTATTTGCAGGCAGCAGAAGATCATTTGCTGATGCTCTCATGAGTTCTGTTCTAATTGATTTGCTCAAAGAGCAATTGATGCCCTCAGAAAACTTTGAAAAATGCTCTAGTTAGAAACAACTTTGTCCATGTCAAATATTTTCTGTTTTTATCTCCATCATTTTTATTCTTTAGGACACTCAGATGAAAATTTCATCTCTTTTGCTTGAGGGTTCACGGGCTGTGGTTTATTCCTCACCTGAAATCATGAGCTCATAGTGACAGCATAAGATGCCAAATTGGAAGTCATAGAAATTATACTGCAGAATCCTAATCCCAACCCTTCACCAGCACTACACACACACACACACACACACACACACACACACACACACACACACACACGGAGAAAATAGAAAGACCAGTCATTTTTCTTCAGAGCATGAAACCCATTATTTACAAATGATTGTTAATGATACATTGAAATATAGAATCAATATTTCTTCAAGCCTTGGAAATAGACAAGCTGTCAAAATGTATTGACATCCTTAAGATTGGGTAGTATAAAACCGTAACTTATACAAATAATATGCAGCCTCTTAGGGCCTCAAACAACTACAATAGAGTTGCAAATGCTGAACTTCCAGTGGCTGATGTAACTGCAGCTCTGCTTAGCAGGATCTAGCAGAGGAAATGCTGTTGACCTGGCAGGATTAACTTTCCCATGGCTGCCTCACTCTTCAGCTCACCAAGTTCAAGGCGCCTCAACCTGTCCCTAATCTTCATCGTTCAGTCTCAGATGAATGCAGTTAGGTGCCATAACAACCATACCCAACTCCAGGTTGGAAGAGTCAAGAATAATGAAGGATGTTCAAATAGGGGATAAATTTTTATATCGTACTAAATGAAGAGAAATCTGTAGGCAAGGAAGATGACAAAGTTTTGACTGATGTTTTGATGATATTCAGAATCCATTAAAATTGATACCATGAAAATTACCATTAACCAATATATGATATCAGAAAAGACTTTTTAAAGGATAAAATAATAAAATCTCATTAAATTTCATCCTTCATTTATAGTTTTATTTTATATTGATTCCGTTTTCTTTGGATTTGTTTGCCAGGAGATTTAGACTTCTTTCAATTGCCCTGTAATACTACTGTGTAGGCATTTTATTTTAAGTAGATGATTGGCAAAATATAAATGCCCTACATAGTGTAATTGAGGCTAACAAGAGTTTTGAATACTAAAGACATCTCTCCCATGGTTCAGCTTTCTAGATTGCCATTGGTCAGTCATTTTACAAGTATATGTTAAAGGTTCTCTACATTCAGATGTACACACATGCACACTCAAAAAGCAAAGGGCACAGTTCTGACCATGTGGGTTGATAATCTACTTGGATAAGTAATAACAGTGCCTTTTATATATCTGGAAAATGTGAAATAACATAAAAGTTGTATTTGAGAGAATGATGAATGGAGCTGAAGTGCTATTATATATAATATTATATATTATGTGTAAATCCTGTTGGAAAAATCAGGAACTTTGGAAACAGGCAGGACTATGCTAGAAGACCAGCTCAATTAATGACTAGCTGTGTGATGTGTAGTAATGTACCTAACCTCTTGAGGCCTTGGTTTCCTTATCTCTGAGAATAAGTTAATAATGCATAACTCATGGAGTTGCTGTGAGAATTGAGCCAGATAATATTTATGAGGAATCTAGCATAGAGCCTGGCACACAGCAGGAACTCAGTAAATATTAGTTTCCCTTCTTCTTTACTGTGGGGGATTCTGGTACATCAAAGATGCAGGCCCTAAAGTCTACGATCCTGCAATCTAATTAGGAAGATGAGACCATTCCTCCAGAGATGATATACATTAGGTAATAGTGAAAAGTGACAACCAAGCATGCAATAGAGCCCCTGGAACTAAGAAAGAGAAGACTGTTAGCAGATATGATCAGGAGAAATTTTCCAGGAAGGATAGAAGTAAGTGGGATAAATGAATGAATACATCAGGGGCTTCTGGAGGGTGAAAAAAAAGAAGTCCAGAATAACTTTGCCAGCTGGTGACTAGAGAGGCTGGCACTAGCCATCACGAAGTGAATATGGAGACCATGGAGTAGGGCAAGAATACTAGAACAAGGGTTAGAATTTAGGGACAGGAGAACAAGAGTAAAGAATTTGTTTGCAAAATAAAGCAATGGTATTGATATCCTATACCACATGTTTCCTCCTAATTCAGCTCTCAGTTCCTGGACCAAATAACCATCTCTTCATATTTCAGGCCTAATGCAAGTAATAATCTACTAAGGTGTCAGCAATAATTTGTTATCTGTTCCGCTGAATGGCATAGTTGGTTCCATTGTTTTGATATTGATTGTTATTAATACAAAATATTTTCATTTATCACATAAGTATCAGGCATAGACATCATTCAGGATCAATTATTTAGATACAAAAGACTTCCTGATCAATGAATATTCAGTGATGTTCAACCTTGTCTGATGACCTACCATTTCTTCCCTTTGAAGCTCTACTCCGAATCATGTAGTCAAGAGCATTTTTTAAATAAATTTACTTATTTATTTATTTATTTTACATCCTGATTGTGGTTTCCCCTCTGTCCTGTCCTTCCAGTCCCTCCTCTCACTACCCCTCTGTTCCCACCATCCAATCCACTCCTATTTTTCTGTTCAGAAAAGGGCAGGTCTCCCATGAGTAGCAATGAAACATGCCACATCAAGTAAGACTTGCAGTAAGACTAAGCACCACCCCATGTATTAAGTCTGGGCAGGGCAACCCAATATGAGGAGTAGGGTCCCAAAAGCCAATAAAAGAGTTGGAGATAGCCTTTATTCCCACTGTTAGGAGTCTCAGAAGAAGACCAAGCTACACAACTGTAACACATAGGCAGAGTGCCTAGGTCAGTCCCCTGCAGGCTCCCTGGTTGTCATTCAGTCTCTGTGAGCCCCTGTGAGCCCAGGTTAGCTGATTCTATGAGTTTCGTGTGGTGTCCTTGACCCCTTTGGCTCCTATAATCCTTTCTCCCCCTCTTCTGTAGGATTCCCTGAGCTCTGTCTCGTGTTTCACTATGTTTCTGCAGCTGTTTTCATGAGCTAGTGGATGAAGCCTCTCTGCTAAGCACCATTCTATGTGTATAGCAGAATATCATTAGGCACCATGACATTGACATTTTTTACTCCAGCCTTTTTGGTTCTGTCCTAGGTCTCTGTGTCATCCAGCCTGTAGGTTGGTGCTCCAGGTAATGTCAGGGATGGGATTACTCTCCTGACATGGGTTTTAGGCTAGACTGGTCATTGGTTGGCTACTCCCTCAATCTCTAGGCCACCATTACCCCAGCATATCCAATAGACATGACAGACCATAGGTCAAAGATTATGTGGAGAGAATTTCTAATGTACTCAAAAAAGCAAAGCTCCACTGTTTTTCATGAACACCCTTAAGTCAAATGTTGATTTTTCTCAGAGATTTATAATGTATCCAGTAGTCTCCAAATATATCAGGAGCAGTTAATAAACATAAGAATAGCCAAACTTAACCTTGAAAATATCATATAATTTTCCATGTTGTATATTATTTTCTTTATATACTTTTTAAATTGTTAAATTGTGGTAGGCAAAAAGAAGTTAGTAAATTCTCAAATGTTTTGCTACCTTGGGGACAAAATCAATTACAACTTCCTCCAGAGCCTCTGGGGGCTACTCGTTACACAGTAGTTTGTTCATAACTGCAAACTAATTCACACATTACTTAAAATGGATATGGCAATGATAGCCACTTCATAGGGTCATTTTAAGAATTAAACAAGATGAATTACATAGAGATTTCAGTACAGCATCAAATACAATAAGCATTTATTAAATGTAAGTAAGCATGATTATTATAAAAATAGATGCACATTTATTGCAAATTAGAAATTATACCTTCCTGATATGTCAAAAAAGACTATTTTTCTTTGTTAATGAATTATGTGGTCTTAAAAAATAATTCAACAAACCTGTTAAGAATGCTTCACTGACATACTCCCAAAAGTAGGTATGCAGTATCTAAAATAAATAAGACTGATGCTTTGCCCTCTAGCATCCCATAGTCTGTTGGGAAATACCTGCAAAGAATCCAGAGAAATAAGCATTACATGACAGTTATAGTCAAAGTAGTATGTGTGTGTGGGGAAGAGAGAAATTAACTTAGTATGGACAGTTAGGAAAGAGAGCAAGGTTACTATTTAATTAGGCATTATTAAGACAATGAAATTGAGTCAAATTGAAGATGGAGAATATAGGCATAATTTCAGATATTACATGAAGGGAATTAAAGTGTGAAAATAGTTGATTAGTTGGTTGGTTGTTTGGTTAGTCGGTTGTTTGGTTGGTTAGTTGGTTAGTTGTTTGTTTGATTGGTTGGTTTTTGTTTTGTTTTGTTTGCTTTGTGGTTGTTTGTAAAACCATAACTGATATTACTGGGAATATTGATAATGGATGGAGAATATATGGATTATAAGGGGAATTAGATATGTTAAAGAAATATGGAGTTTAGGAGTAATGAGAGGTAAGAACACTTAGCATGAGGTCAACCCTTGCTAACTACAGGCACAATGTTTTCCAGCAGAGCTCTAGACCTTAGTCACTTTGCAAAATTGAAACACATGTATATGTGTTGTTCAAAAATTCCAAATAGCTCTGTCTCCAGGAATGTAAAAATATTCTACAGTGTTAGTCATTTTCCTTGTCACTCTGACAAACTACCTGAAAGAAACACATCAAGAAAGAAAGGTTTACTTTGTCTCAGGATATCACAGAGGTTTCTATCCAGCATGGTGGGAAAAGCATGATGGAGAAGATCCATAGTGGTATGTGTGTCAGGCAGTAGGTACTCACATGTCCCAGACCCAGTAGCAAAGAGAGTGGGATGGAACCAGGACCATGTAGAGTCTTCAAAGGGCCACCCTTAGGTACCTTCTTCTAGATCCTATATCCCAAAGGCTCCAAAACTTTCCAAATAGTGCTAAAAGCCAGGGAACAAGCATTCAAGACATAAGCCTTGAATTTCAGGTTCAAACTATGACACAGAGACACTGAGATACAGCCATTCTTGGAGCTACACAGTTCTCTTTGAAATCTTGAATATTTAGCAAACATAAATGGCAGTAAAAAGTGGAAGATAAGTACAGATTTTATGGGAAAGGCCTTGAAAAGATTAATATAACTTATATGAAAATTCTAGTCCCAAACATCATCACATAGCTATCTCTAATTGAACTCAACAAGGAAGTGTGTCCAGAAACATAACCATGAGGAGAAAAATGGCATTATCAATAATAAATAAATAAAGAGATAAATAAATAGCTAGTCTATGACAAGATGTCTAGAAATTAGGTGAACTTCTAGAATTTAAAAGGTGCCTGATGGAAACAAATACTCAGAAACCAACCATTATTATGCTGATGGAATAACACTAATCAAGTTCACTGTGTGCTGATTGATTGCTTAGTCATCTGAGTCTGGTAAGACCGGCCAGTTTGAGATGCACCAGTTGCATGAAATCAAATTGCTATTAACAGATGGGCAGTAAGGCAGAAATGAAGTCTATAGTTTATTGGAAGCCAGGCTACTAAGAGCCAAGAAAGCATCTCTGAATCAGTCCAAGACAACCCAGAGAACTACCCTGCAAATATATTGTACCCATGAGAAAGTGGATATTATGGGAAAAGAGGATAGTAAGCCAAAGGTGTCTATTTCACAGGGCCAAGGTATAAAAGTTGGCTACAATTGTGCTGGGCAATGCTCACCCATGTTCTCTGAATCACAGTCTTTTGCAGAGCAGAGCTGTGTGACCATCTGAGAATTCATATGTATGAATTTGTATCAGATCTATCTATCCATCCATCCATCTATATATCATCTATCACTATATGTTTTTATTAAATACTTGGCAAAAATAAGACACGTACTAGTGACTGCTCCTATAATCCCTTGTGAGTCTTTGTGTCTTTGTTTTTGTTTTTTTTGTTTTTTTTTTTTTTTGCTTTTACCACAAAAATATCAGATACTTGGATTGGGGCTCTTGCTCATGCTTAAGGACAAGGACATCTCAGTGATGCACACTCCATACAGTTTCTTCACTACATGGCTTCCTGGACCATCATTAGTGTTGTTGTTCCATTATTTTTACTCCATACATCTTAGTTATTGTCTTTTAACTACTGTCTGAAAACAGCATGTTGCTTTAGTGAGAAAGGAATAATGTCAAATACAAAATACACTGGGGTCGGCACTAATGCAGCTGGTACTGACATGTCACACTGTGTACATGGTATCTTGGTCTAAAGGACTTCATATTCACACTAACTGTGAACACGGGCAGTTGGTATTTATGTACAGCCTGTTCCCCAGGGATGACCCATGGGCATGTAAGTCTTCCAGAGCGGAGTGGTGGTGCTCTATGAATGCTGATTGTGTGATGTGTTTTTATAGAAATATATTCTAATGTACACGTCAAGCTTGGTATTACCCATCCATGCACTCCATTTAAAATAAAACACAGGAAAGATGTTTCCAAAGAGGTTTCAATTTGGGCCACTCTTCATAAATCTTCTCTGATTTCTTTGTTTTCTGTTTTCAAAAGAAAAAAAAGCTATTGGAGTGTCAGCATGCTGGAGTTTTTGTTGGTATTTACGGTGTAAAATCAGCATCACTAAATAAAGCAACTGCCAAGTAAATATGTTCTACTTACAAAGCCAGATCTCTGTATAACTAAAGTCTTAGATCTAATTAAGAAATTTCCAAAAGCTGTATCTTTGAAATCTTCCAGCAATAACAACAATAAAAAGAAAACCATGTTTTAGCTTGGACTTGTGAAATGTTAGCTTTAGACATAAAAGAAACTTCCCATTCTAAAGCTGAACTTTAATAAATTACAACAGCATTTCGTCTTTCATAATGCCATTGTGAGAGAACATTCCTCTGCTAAAGCCTTTGCATGGCAAGAGCCAGAAGGATTTTTCACTGCTATGAGATCCTTCTGAAAGATTAAATAAACACCAGGTGGATTCTTAAGGCACTGTACTGCTTTCAAAATCAAAACCTGAAATGAAGATCATTAGTGTAAGTGTTTCATATGTGAATGACGAGGACATGTAGGTTCAAGAGGTATATTTCAGCCACAAGGTACTTCAATAAAAATATAACAGGCAGCTTACTAGGCAAACATATTTTCTATTTGTTTCTAAGGTGGAAATAGGGTTGAAAATATTGTAACAAAGGTAGCTTCTCTGTGTTGTACCAGGATAGAAAAATCTTTCTCTTTCTACATGCCAGTGAACAGATGTTTCTTTATTCATTCCTGCCCTATCCATCTAAAAATAAAAAAAAAAGAAAATTTGGAAACATTTCTAATAGCACAAAATGGATGGCCATGACTTGAAAAACTGAAGATAATAAATCGAGTCCTTGGCATGCTTAGTAGACCTATGTGTCTCTGTACCGTGAGACAACTACTAAACACTGAAATACTTGAAGGAAAGAACTAGTCTTATAATTGTGTAATTGTTGGTCTGAAAAACAGTATGAGAATCTGACATCCATAAAGCAAAATACCACTTTCTCTTCAAATATGCTTTACCATATAGCTATGACTAAAGAAAATATCATAATCTAGCATGAGTTATCCTAAAACTGATTCTTGGAACATTGCTCACTGTATGTGAACTGTGGTAAGGGAGGTATTCAGGCCCCTATGATATTGATAATTCACTTCTGCATTTTATTTTGTATGAAAACACATGAAATAAAACCTTTATGCTGTTCAAGGCTTTGAAGGATTGGGCTCCAGAGACTTAAAGTATTTTAGAATGATCTTTCTTATCATATGTACAACTTAAATATATTTAAAGAAATATCACATTATAGTTTGCATTTTAAATTTGCTATACATATGGTAAACTTGGAAGTTGAAAAATTAGAAAATCTGTGTTAATTATATTTAATGTATACTTTCCATGGACACACACTTCTGAATATAACTGTAAATACATGTCAGTGTATATATGTACACACTAATACAAATGTATGTATAATTTATACATATGCATACATTGCACACTCACAAATACACATGGGTTTAAAGACAAATTCAGACTCATGTGAGTACTTTATTGGGTTCATGTGATCAGCAACCAATATGTTACTACCTTGGCCTTTCTTCTTTTTTAAACAAAGAGCCAGATTTGCCTCTGGCCATACTCTGCACTCTGTAGAACATACACCCAACTTCAAAGAGGCCATGTAAGCATTAGGCTTTTGAAGCTAGGCAGAAGGCATATGTCTACATGCCTAAAGGCACAGGAAGGTCAACCAATGCCCTTATGGTCACACAGAAGATATATCTTTGTGATCAAACTAGCATTGAAAAGTCTGAAAGCTTCAACTCCTGTACCACTCCTAGTGATACAGACAAATGCTAATTACTACAAAAAGCATTATGATGGCCCTACAGTACAGTACCTCCTTCAACAGCAGCTCATCAGTAAGTGGATGGCTTATGAGCAAATTTCTGTTGATAGTTTATGGTAGTTAAAATTTGGGGATTTTTATTAACATGCCTTTTTGCATTTTTACACTTGTCTAACCAGAATGTCACATAAAGTCATATGTGCTATTGTTATTCTCATGTGTTGACTACTTTATAGCGATTTAACCCTTTCATACCTCTGCAAAATATGCACAAACACTATTTCTGTGTTAAAGATCATAGGGCCAATGCTTTCATAAATAAGTGGTCAGGGTTTACAGGCTGCTGAACAGTAGAAGGGGGGCTATAGTTAGGGCTTGTCTGTCTCCAAGCACCTGTCTGTCTCTTACAAAATTTTAACTGGAGGTATTTCATAGAATACTTGGAGTGCCACAAGCATTGTGCTAACCAGTGGGCCTGCATTATCTCCATGGCACTCATCACACACTACCCTGTAAAGGTTTTCATTACCTTCATTTTTCAGCCAAAGGAAAAAGGCCTGTGAAGTGTCCATAAATCCTATATATCCTGCCTCTCCCTTGGATTTTGCATCTCTCTCTCTCATCAGAGCTGCAAACTGGAGCAGAAAGGACACTGAAGGGTGGTATTCGAATACAACCCTAAGTTCTTGAGTGACTCCTCATCCAGGTCACTTTGCTTTCTGTGAGAGCCATTGCCTAGGCACATCTAAATAACTTTCAGCAAGGGATATGCCCCTCACCCAAAATCAGTGGTGACATCTAAGCTGTGTGTAAGGTTTCATGGTCAGCTCATGAGTGCATTTTGTATTATTCATCTGTGTAGGCCACAATATTGCCCAGGATGTATGTCAAACCTGAGCACAGCCATATGATGGCAGGAACTGAAGCCACACAGATTGATATAATCTCTTCAGCCTTGCCCTTCAAAGCTTTCCATAGTCCGAAGCATAGAAGGGCCTATCACAGTGTAAGTTCCTAGGACTTAAATTCATTCAATAATCCATTGTCTCTTTCACTGCCTTCATACCAGAGCTCCTACCCTGTATACAGCAAGTACCTCTTAGGAGCAGACCTTGGATGCGATGCTGCTAGTGAAGGAGGTGGCTTTTGTGTCTGTGTGATTAGACTGTCTTCCCCCCAAATCCTATTCACCAGAAGCCATGCTGCCTTGCCAAAGTGGCTCAACTCGTCCACCATTCAACAGAATCTGCTCTCTCTTCCAGTCACTGACTGGCTTTACCCCAGATAATGGAGCTGCAGACTGACTTTTGCCTGGGTTCGTACTCATGGCTGAGGCATGGAAATTTACCAGAGCTGAGACCGATAGCCAGGCATGACACACCTGTCTCCCTCTGGCTATGCTGCAACCACCGCTGTCTACCACTGCGTTGTACTTCTTCCAGTGGGAAGACAGCCTGTCCCTTAGCAAGGGAGATGTTTGTACTACGAAAGTCTGGTTTGGCTTTACTCATTTCATCCATGAAGCAAGACTATGTCAATCATGTTCAACGATTAACCTGCCCAGAGAAAGCAGCCTACTTTGATTCTTAAATTCTCCATCTCCTGGTTGACTCACTTTTTATATTTAATTAGTTATTCCTAAGTATCTCATCTTAAGTATGTGAGATCCCTTCTTACGCAACATGCTTCTACAACAAAAAAACTAATTATTCTTGACTCCTCCTTTGATACAGTAGTAATATTCTGACTATCCCTAAAACCACTTGTATACTTCAATAAAATATAATAGATTTCTAATTCAAGAGCATGAGAAGAACATCTGCCTCTGTGTGTGTGCACACTGCGTGTTCTTGGGTCTCAGTGTTGAGATACACTATGGCAAACTTCTGCATTCCCCAGCTCAGTTTGTATCATTGTGGGACACCAGAAAATGATGCAGATACGTGGGGCTGTCTCCTGTTACACACACCTTGCAAATCTGGAGGATAAAGTTCCTCCCAACTTTACATTTTTCTTAGTATGTTTGTCACATTAAGGACAAAACAGAGTACAAGTTAAATCCCCATTCTGAGGCTGAAGATTAAGAGCACATGCTACTCTTCCTGAGGACCCAAGTTCAGTTCTCAATGCCCACATCAGGAAGCTCACCATCTCCCCTAACTCTAACCCCAGGGCATCCAATGCCCTCTTCTAGTCCCTGCAGGCACCTGCATTCACATGGATATAGCTACACAGAGATACACGAAAGCACACAGGATTGAAAATAAGCAAATCTTTTTTTAGGTGGGGGTGTGGTGAGTTGAGACAGAGTTTCTCCACAGAGCCCTGGCTGTCCTGGCATGTCCTGACTATGTAGATTAGCCTGGCCTTGAACTCACAGAGATCTGCCTGCATCCACCTCCAAGTGCTGGGACTTAAGGTGTGTGTGTCATCTCTCTAAGCACTGGGGCTCAGATGGAAAGGTATCCTGGCAGGTGGGAGCCATAGCTCCAGGGAACGGTTTCCCCCGATCCAAGTGGAACAACTCTGCTCTGGCAAGCAGAAGAGGGTTCCCCAGTGAGGCTGTTACAGCTCTGCTTGGGTCCCCTGAGTGTAACAACTCCGCTCTTCTAGAGGAAGTTTCCTCGGTGAAAGTGTTATAGTTATGTTCCATGCTGCACAACAAACCTCACTCAAGAGATTTATTGGGAAGGAAAAATCCAGGACAGTGGCTGCCTCTAGAATGAGAAGCAGCAGCAAACTGAACAGGATAGAACTTACATTGGGTTTCTTGGGGGAGGTGGAGCTTTCCAGGGTAGCTTGGGATTTGTGGGGTTTGTGGCCTGATTCTGGGGCAAGTACAGGGATTGGTGGGATTTTGTGCTCAGGTATTGGTGGCATTTCGTGCCCAGGAACCTTTAGAGATTGGTGGGATTCTATAGCCTGACTCTGGGGCAAGCTCAGGGATTGGTAGGATATCACGTCCTGGGGTCAAGTCATGGTCAAGGTGTCTTTCCGTGACCTTTTTCACCCTACATTCATTGCCAGCTTTAAAAAAAAAAAAAGTCTTCGAAAGAAACACCCATTCTACAAAGCACAATGTAATGTTCAGGAGCTTATGATATGTTCAAAGACTCATGCTTGTTTTCTCATTCTGTGATTCAGAGAGCACAAACAGTTGA